TAATTTAAATCTTTTAGATAATATACTTATTACGTAAATCTATATTTACTAATTATAAATGGAAAAGTTAGTACAAACACTAATAATATTTAAAGTATTTTGAATTTTTTTGCATGAGCATAAACTATCGATATTTGTCGATAAAGTTGTCCATACACGGCATTATCAGAAAATAAGTGTGATAACTATAGTAAATTTAATGATAAAATTTCTAAAATTCAATAAAACATTAGATTACGGTAAATGTTTTCCTAAATGTTAAAGATTACAGAGTACTTAAACGTTATCTGCACCTCTGTGCAAATTAATTGAAACAAAACGGATAATTCCGTTATTATTTGATTTTTTTCATATTTTCCCAATGAAACATGACACAATGCACATGTTAGTACTCCGTATGTCCATTCCACGAAATTTTTCTTTGCAGATTAATCAGACATTCTCGATTGGATTTAAATCAAGGGAGTTTTTCTGGCTAGTCTCTAGTATTTTTGATTTGATCTGGTAAGACTTGCCAATGTGTTCGTGCAGAGTTACAATTCTTGTCCTCTTCCTTGAAGTAACGTCCATAACAGAAAATGGCCGTAGGACAACTAATTGAAAGTCGAGACAATAGTGTCTGGGCGTGATGAAAATCTGATGCAATCAAGGATGGTACAATATTTTTTAAGGGCAAACAAAATTTCATTATGCACACTTAAAAAAGATTCATATTACTGCACAACACTGCAAATGCCCTAATCTGATGAAAAATAGAAATCGATTACACTTTATCACTACAGTGGGTCTAAAACTGAACGTAAAAAAAGGAAACTAAATCGATTGTTTCAATTAATTTGCACAATGGTTTACAAAAGGCGCTCACGTTATATTTAATTATTATAAACATTATATAAGCATCAATCTGACACAAACTATTAAACACGTCAACAGCTTAAATAAACAGTTACCGTCCTGTTAAAAAATACATTTCTGTAATATGTTATACTTAGAGTAAATAACTTTTTTTTCAAATCAAATTAATTATATTTTAAATCAGCTAATATACCTCAAATAATTTTTTAGAAAAGTATATCTCATTTTGGTCATTTTTTTAATAAAGAGAATTAACTTGCAATAAACGCGGGCTAAAAAAAGGGCGCTAAAATCAAATGTTTTAGAAAATACATTCTTCCAGGCAATTTAAGTTAGTTTTGAAATCAATGTAATGTGCTCATTTGATATATTAAATGTAGTCTGTTAACTTGAAATTAAACCTAAAATTACATCTTCAAGAAAAAATTTAATTTTTAAAAAAATATTTTAAAACTTTGGTGTAAGGAATTAGTTGAGGTTACCTAGTTTTGCATGAAAGTCAAACAGAAAATAAGAGCAATTATTACAAAAAATGAGTAATCAGTAACACTCAGAAACCAGGAATACAGAAGCTTTAATCATGTGATGATAAGCTGGGGCAATAAATGTGATCTCCGATGCCAACTTATCATTAAATATCACAAGACATTTTTTCTCACTATTTTTTGTTTTTCTTTCATTATAAAACTGAAGAAGCCGAAAAGAACACACATTTTCTCCGGTGGTGAAACGCGTCGTTCATTAAAAAAAATCCGCTTTATCATCACTTTTATTTCTGATATTATATAACCTAAAAATAAAAATCCTTGGATTCTCTGTAAAATCCCAGGAAAATGGAAGGACCATGCATATTGTGATATATTACAAGAGTTACGTAGTCGAAGGACTTTGTTTGACAGAAAAATTGTTATTCAACTGCCTGACAATGGAAGTGTACTTTTTTCTCTTTTTATGTGCCGTGTTCGTTCAGGATGTAGGTGATCGTGGCTCTTGTATTCCCCTATCCCTTGCAGCACTCAATAACCTTTATTCGTCAGCCACCTCCCCCCTGACCACGTTCTGCCATCCACTTGACCGCCAGGTATGTCATCTATTGCTTTTCATTGTCTGTCTTTCCCTTTATTCGACCTGTGAGTATAAGAATCTCCAGGCCCTCCTTTCTCATTAAGTGTCCCATTAATTTCAACATCCTCTTCGTTATGAAGTATAAGCTTCCACCTTGTTTGCATCCTCTCCAAAATCTCATCGTTGCTCACACGCTCGCTCTATGATATCCTTAGCATCCTTCTGTAGAACCACATCTCCGCTTCTTCCTTGAGGAGACCGTCCAAAATTGGCTGCCGTAAAGAAGGACCGATGTCACATAGCAGCTCAGAAATCTTTTCTTTGTCACCAAAGATTTTTTTTCTGTCTCGTAATACTCTGGCCAGCTTTTGGAATGCGTCATTGGCCATTCCAATCCGTCTTCGGATCTCAGCGTCGCACTTTCCATCCTGCGTCGAAACACTTCCGCACCTGCTTAATTTTAGTGTCCACTGCCTGAAAATCGCATTTTGAGCTCATCCTTTTGCCGATGGTCATGCATTCTGTTTTCTTGTAGTTTATGCTTAGTCCCTTCTTCTCGCTCTCCTTCTCAACCTTCTGTAAGAGGTTTTCTGTTTTCTTTTCCTTGTCTGCTATCATTACCGTGTCATCTGCTTATCTTATTTTGCTAAGTTTGTGGGCACCAACGCTGAAGCATAGTAGGAATTCCAATTCCTCCAGAATTACCTTGCTGTATAAGATGAATAAATCAGGTGAGAAGACACATCGTTGCCTTATGTTTTTATTTTTTTTTATTTTTGTATATCCGCTGAACATTCTCTGTGCTCATGCATGCCGTTTGCTGCCAGTATATATTCTAGATTACTCTAATATCTTTCCCAAATATTTCAAGGTTGCTGAGCAATTTCAACAGACCTTTGTGGCCTATATGTCAAATGATTTTGCGTAGTTTATAAAACATAGGTACACGTCCCTTCTGCATTTGTATTGCTCTTTCTGATAACATTTTGAGCATGAATATCGCTTTCCTTGTTCCGGTGTCTTTAACGAACCTACACTGTTCTTGTACTATCTCTAGCCTGATTCTGCTGCGCGGTCCGTTCATCAGAATGCAGAAGATGTGTTTTGTTATGTCGTATTAAAAACTAAATAACATGATTTTCTTAAAATAAATGTATAGATAATATTAGCTTAAATACATACATATATATATATATATATATATATATATATATATATATAATTATTGTTTTTTAAAATATCATTCCTTCGCTTCATAACAGTTCTCATGTTTCAAAAACAAGAGCCAAAAGCCCTGTTTCATACTCAGTTTCGCTTGAGGGTGAAACAGGGCATTTGAGTGTTGAAACAGGAGAACTCTTATGTAGCGAAGGAATGATATTTTTTAAAAAAATAATTATAATTTTAATTTACGCGCCTACATTTGAATTGAGCACTGTTTTTTTTTTTTAAATAAAAACAAAATTACTAAAGAACTTCGGATTATTTACCTAACGTGTTCTTTCCTTTATATATATATATATATATATATATATATATATATATATATATATATATATGTAGGTCTAGACAATGAATGGTTACAGTAAAACAATAACAAGTTTTAATCGTTCATTCCCATTCTCTAACACTTATTTCTTTAACGCATACAGATTACCATATTTTTAGACCCCCATATCATTTAACTTGTGGCATATTATTAAAAAATAAAGAAGCTGCATATTCTCTTTTAAAAACTTCACGGGAAAAAATAAACCTATTTCTTTAAATGTCGAAAATGAAAATTACTCTTCCCGATGGGCTGCACCCGTTTAGAATGGAGATGATTAAATTTGTGATAGTTAAATTAAAGAAAATATTGGCTTGTTTACAAGAGGTCATGTTATTAAAATTCAATTTTGTTTTTACAATTTATAAATAGCTTCCCATTTAAGTGAAGCGCAATGTTTTAAAACAAGTCGATGTTTACATATATTACTATCGCTTTTAAAGATGTAATATTCTACGGAAATTTATCCAGATGGAAATGCCGATTATGAAGTAACACGAATTTACGTTTGGAAAAAAAAAAAAAAAAAACTTAAAGCGAGATTTCGCAATGTATAGGTTGGATTGTTTGTTTAGCGGCATATCAACACTTTATGGGTCATTTAATGCCGAAATTTAATTTTCTTTGGAGCATTAGTATTTTCTTTACAAAAAATATTTTACTTGTAAATTTTTTTACTATGAAAATGTATTGCTGCTATTTTTACAATATAAAATGACTTACGGTTGCATCTAGCCATTTCAACTGTAAAAAAAGAGACCTAGACGACAATCTAGTACTGCGCTAAAATTCATATCTGCACTTTTAATATTGAATGAATTTTCCTGTGGAATTGTTTTGAGAGAAAAATTCCCTAAGTTTCTACAGAAAGAAGTACTGGCTGTTCAGTCAAATGAATGCCAAATGTTTCTTTGCAGGTTTGGTTTGTTTTACGGCATATCAACATCAATGGGTTATTTAATGCCGCCAAGATCTTTATTGCTGGTAATATTTTTTTCAAAAATGTATTGCTGGTAATATTTTTTCTTCAAAAATTTATTGCTGATAATATTTTTTCCTTCAAAAATTCATTGCTGGTAATAATTAAAAAAAAATGCATTGATGGTATTAAAATCTATTTTTCCACATTCAAAATGTTTTGAATCCAGTTTGGGGATTCAATATTTACTCATAGCTCGGACGCTAACAGGTTCTATAACCCCGCTTCCCTGTGGACCTTTGAACTCCAGCAATTAAGTGGTTGTTCCGGGCTCTTCAGAACCTTCCGACCGGAGACATTGTTGCCTGGTGTGTAGTGTATCGTCATACTCAGGACGTGAATGTATCAGTTAAAGAAGAATATTTAATTATTTTCTGACAACGTTGACAATTTATTTAAGACAAAATAAAAAAAGCAACAACATTCTTTGACTTTTCTTATTATTACACGTGCAAATATCGATTAAATAAATAATTACGTCATTTGCAGACAGAAGAAAAAAACAGCTTTGTTTATCCAGCAATGACCGAAGAATCTTCGTATTTATTTCGAATGAATCTATCTCATGCTTGTCGATGCGTAATTTAAGACGTAAGTACAGGTCAGTGGGTGCGTAATTGGACAGAATCGCATAGAAATATCGATCAGATACAATGTGTGATTAGTTCGATTATAATGATGACGCACAATGTTGTCCAAATCAATAACTAGAAATATGCTGTTTCAAATGTTGTATTGGTTTGATTGGTTCCTTCTATAAAAAGGTAAGATCAAATCATCGTACATATTTGACCATAAGGAATCAGAACGCGCATTGGAAAAGCAAAATATACAATTTAAAAGCTAAGCAAAGTAGTAAGCAACAAGAAAAATTCGTTGAAAAGAAAGAAAGTAGTGCTAAACTACTATGTAATATGAATCTTTCTATATGCTGGAATGTATAATAAAAGATGAAGAGAAGACAGTTACAACGGAACTCTGGCTCTACAGAAGGGTGATGAGAATGCCGTAACCGGAACGTGTAAGTAACGAAGAATCTTAAGGAAATAATTAGAAAATGATACTTAAATTCATAAAGAGACGCAAAATGAAGGCCTGGAGGTTTTGACACTAACATTTCATATCGATGCCAAAAGTGACAGAGGGAGGGAAGAAGCCACCTAACTGACCAGTTTATGTAAATGGATGGCGGAATTGGGATGGAACAGGTGGCAAAAAATGCAAAGGATAGGAAGTGTTAAGAACCATTTTCGTGGACGTGATGGAGAGATACGTCACATAGAAGAACGAATATATTAAGACACATATAAAATCGCCTTACTGAAAAAATTATCTTTTTTATTTTTTCATAGCAGACCAATTTGTTTAAATCATTTTAATCTAAGCATGATAATAAAGCTGCAAAGACGCAAGGAATTACTGTTTTTCAGAGAATCTGAGTAAAAGAAAACAAAAGGAAATATTAACCCAGCTCATTTTAAAAATATCCCTATCTGAACCGTTTCATATCTATCTATTTGTCTGTCTGTCTGTCTGTCTGTCTATCTATCTATCTATCTATCTATCTATCTATCTATCTATCTATCTCCTGTTCGTAGCTATTTATCCATACCAGTCTATTCATATCTATCTATCTATCTAAACATATTCATGTTTATTTATATATTTCATTTCACATCTGTCTATTCCTAACTGTATCAATCCTGGGTACCACTTTCTTTCTCTATCTTTACTTTCTGCTTCATATCCATCTCACTTAATCTCTCTCATTTTGTTTATATCTATTGAATCGCATAGTACTTCTCAGCGATAACCTTGATTAAAAAAGCTGTTTGAAAAAAATTTATACTTGATAAATGCACATATATCCAAAATATCCTCAGTAATGCGTGACCAAATATGCTTGTAGTATTATGATTATCAACAAGGAAAAGAAAATCGAGTTAAATTTCGGTCAGGTTTCCGTCGTCCACTGTGTCAATGTAATTCTTTTTTATCGTCACCTCATGCAAGATAATAAAACCACTAAGACAACAGGGGTTACTGAGTGTGAAAGTAGAAGAAAACATTATTAAAGAACGAGAACACTAGAAGAGTAATCAAGAAAAATGTTAATAACAATTACATTTGAATTTTTGAAAGTCAAACTTGACTAGAAACCATGTAGCCGGAAGAGACTCACACACGCGAGAAGCGCAAGAAAAGAGAATTTTAGCGTAAAATTTACTGTTACTTCTCGCTAATTCAACTGTAAATCGATGTTACCTTGCCGCCAATATAGTTCACGCTTAAATTCGTAAAATCTCGCTACACAGCGAAGAGTTCATCCAAAAATTGAAAATGAAAGTATTTATAGAAAAGGCACATGAAATCTACAATATCGCAGTGAGAAAGTGACTGAATACGAGATGCCAGTTCAGGACCAATGATATTGCTTATTATTCTTTGGATTTTTTAACAGGTACACGGGTCATTTCAGAAAGTACAGAAAGGGTGAAGGGACTAAGCATAAACTACAAGAAAACAGAATGCGTGGTCATCAATAAAAGAATAAGCCCGAAATACGATTTGCAGATTGGGAACACTAGAATCACGCAGACGCGGAAGTTTATATATGTGGCAAGCGTTCTGACAGAGGACGGTAAATGTGACACTGAGATCCGTAGAAGTATTAGGATGGTCAAGCGCGCATTCCAATACCTGGAGAGAGTATTGCGAGACAGGAGGATTTCTTTGGTAACAAAGAAAAGAATACTGCGCTGTTACGTGATATCTGTCCTACTTTACGGCAACAAATGTTGGACGATTCCATCAAAGAGGAAGAAAAGACGCGAGGCGACAGAGATGTGGTTCTATAGAAGGATGCTAAAGGTATCATAGAACGAGCCTGTGAGCAACGATGAGGTTTTAGAGCGGATGCAAACAAGGAGGAGGATTATGCTTAACTTCAGTAAGAGGCAGCTGAAATTCTTGGGACACATAATAAGGAAGAAAGGTCTGAAGAATCTGGTACTCACGGATCGAATAGAGGGAAAAAGTGACATACCTAGCAGCCTTAAGCAAGTCGATGACAGAATGTGATCTGGGAGAGGTGGCAGAGGGAATGAACTTGTTGTGAGCTGCAATGGATAAGAAGAGGTGGAGAGCTATGATCGCCTACGTCCTGAAAAGACAGGACACATAGAAAGAAAGAATCTGTTCTCTTTTTTATCATGTTCGTATTAATTAACCACATTGAGTAAAAAGCGTAAAATTTACGGTGACATGCAACGAAATTCAAATGTAAATTGATGAAACCTTGGCTTGTTGGCTTCATAAATATCCAGGTATGAATCTTTATCGACAGAGAGACCATGCAGTGACCAACCCCGTAATATCAAGTAGCCGCTGAAGGTTGTTATTGAGAATGTGATAGCTAGCATGAACAAAAATCACCTGATCTTATCAAGCAATGGCTTCCTAGGTTGTATGACAGCTACAGACTATTATATTTACTGATTTTTATTTAAGTGTATACATCTAAAAATTCAAGTCTATAACGTCTTTTCTCCTTTTTTTTACATTATATTTTTTCAACATTACCTACAGTAACATCTACATTTTATCACGTAGATGACAATGACACTATTGTTATCTTTTTTCTCATTCTAAAGCAATATTTCCCAACCAGTGTTCTCCGAAACCCTACGGTTCTGCAAGATGCCGCTAGGGATTCCACCAGAAACAGTGATAATTAGGCAAATGCATATTTTGAGTAATTTCTGTTTAAATATATTTATCGTATTTTTTCTATACGTATACAATACATTGCTGAAAATCTATGGTTATTATAATAAAGGCTTCAACCGCTTGCATATATATTTAATTTTTTTTAATAATCATAGGGAATATAAATAAGGGTATGTGCATGGCGTCAGTTTGAAACCGCTTTCACTTGTTTGTGGGCTGGACTATTACGGAATGGATTATTGTGTACCATTGAGTGAGAGACTGAAGTAAAGGACATGAACGGTGTTCATATATTATGTTCGGCACGTGAACTATGATAAAAGATATACATTTTTTTTAAGCATTTAACCCAAGCAAGGTAGGATTGCCACTAAAACGCAAGGGATTACAGGGAGGGAGAGTAATGAGGTGTGTTTGAGGAAAAAATAAATTCAAGAATGGGGATCAAGATCGTATCATCAGGAGAAGTCGATTACCTTTGAATATTTGAAGTTATCATGGAAGCAAGTAAAAGGAAGGGAATTCCAATGTTGGGAAGAGTCAGAGAAGAATTTAATCGTTTCCACAGCGAAAAGGTGGGGTCGAAATGCCAACACAGTAGCACGCTTAAATTCATACAGTTGGCGTATCATGAAAATAGTTCGTCAGAGCAGTTGCCATGAAAATATTTGTAGAAAAAGCAGACGGAAACCACATTACGTCTGTGAGAAATTGACTATAGTCGAGATGCCAGGCCAGTATCTATTGCATTGCATATAAAAGAGAACATACGAAAGAGATCGATCATATAAAAAATAATAATGGTATATAGTAAATTAATGCAGAGATATCCCGAGACATGAAAACAATCTGAATGATTCCACAATGGCAAAAGAAAGGCTGGAGACATGCTGCTCAAATGAATTTTGCTCTTATTAAGTCATTCGACCAGAATATAATCAACGAAGGGATATATCAATAGCTTCTTATATTACCGATTAAATATTCGAGTAAAATTTATTTTAAATAGTTTTTTTTTTTTTTTCCATATTTATTTTTTAAAGTTTTTCATTATTTCCCTGGTACGCTTAAATTTGGTACTTGTCAAACATTAAAATGTTTTAAATTCATGTAAAAATGAAAATTTAAAAACTATGTAAATTTTATTTCATGTCATTTTAATAAAATAGAATTGTACAAGAATTATAACAATTTTTTTTTGCTTAAACTTAAATGTTTCTTTTCTAAACAAAACGTTTATAATGATAATTTAAAGAAAGAAAATCAATAGAATCATTTAGAATATTTCTTTCTTTCATTGATATTATATATATATATATATATATATATATATATATATATATATATATATATATATATATATATATCTTATTCTTTTCTTTGTTTTTAACCAAAATAATTATAGAAATTCAAAAATACCAGAGAACGATTTCATGGGCAATAAAGAAATTTTGTTATATTTTTATTTCAAAATAAATTAACTACAGAAAAATACGGTAATTGCACGAAGCAGTTTTGCAATTGAAGAATAAAAGAAATATAAATTTTAATACAGAGAGAAAAATAAAATTTTCAGTTTTAATTACATTTTTCTATGATTTATGTATTCATGTTCCCTTCGGTAAATGAAAAAAAAATCATTAACTTGATTTATTACGAAGTTCACAAAGAACACACAATTCCTTGAACATAAAGTCTTTTTTTTGTTTGTTTAGCTTGTATTATTTTTTTTATTTGAAATAATGTTGATTTGTCTTGAATTGTGTATTCTGATTTTCATAAAGAAGTTGTGTGAGAGACAAAGAACTGCCTCACTTTTCCATCACTCCTACCTGGATGTTCTCCTGTTTGTTTGCATATCGATCCACCTTTTATTATATTACTGCTTACAACATTATAAATAAATTTGTCTTTCTCTTCTTATGGAAGGTACAAGCTGACTGTCTGTCTGTCTGTCTATCTAGCGAGATAGATTGTTAGCTCTCTATATAAACTTGTTCTTATCTATCTATCTATCTATCTATCTATCTATCTATCTATCTATCTATCTATCTCAGTCTGTTCATATCTATCTATCTATCTATCTATCTATTTATCTATCTGTCTGTCTATTCATTAACTATCTATCTATCAGTCTGTCTGTTCATATGTATGTATGCATGTATGTATCTATCTATCTAGCAAGCAACGTAAACGTATCCATGTTTGTTTATATATCTCAATTCTCATATGCCAGTTTCTAACTTTAACTATCTATCTAGCTGTCTATATCTATCTATCTATCTATCTATCTATCTATCTATCTTAGTCTGTTCATATCTATCTATCTATATATCTATATGTCTGTCTGTCTGTCTGTCTATTCATTATCTATCTGTCTATCAGTCTGTCTGTTCATATGTATGTATGCATGTATGTATGTATCTATCTAGCTAGCGAGCAACGTAAACGTATTCTAGTTTGTTTATATATCTCAATTCTCATATGCCAATTTTTAACTTTAACTATCTATCTATCTGTCTATATTAACATATCTATCTATCTATATATCTATCTATCTATCTATCTATCTATCTAACTATATATCTATCTATCAATGCGTGACATACCTAGCGGGCCTAAGCGAGTGGATGCCTGAAGGGGGTCTGGAAAAAGTAGCAAACGGACAAAACTTATTGAAAGCTGCAAGGCTAGTGGGAAGTGGAGAGCCATGATCGGCTACGTCCTGAAGTGACACGGAATTAAAAGAATATCAACGATAACATATCAACAATAAAGATATAAAAATAAACATATCAATTTCTAAAATGTTTAGACTGTCCCCTCCCTAATCATTCATAAACTTCTCGTTACCTGCAAAACATTTATTATTATTTATTAAAAAAATAAAAATGATAATAAATTCGTTATAATAGAAATTATGAGTATAAAAATATTAAAATGTTTTTAATGCAAAAATCAGTTCTCGTATTAAATGAAAATTGTAACGACTATTATATTACTGCTAATGCTGGTATGATACCTACAGTGTACCTATTCTTACAGCCCTCTGTACAATAAGAAAAATAATTCCACTATTCATGCAATTACAGATAATCCATGGTGAAGTTCATTTTTAGATTTCAAATAGGGGATATTTTTATTCAGATTGAAGGTGGAATGAACCAGTTTCAAATTGTATCGATAATCTGAATCCCACTTTCTTTTGTAAAGCATGTGGCCGTTCATTTCGATAGTAAATGAAAGAAACTTATTGTGTCTTGTTCAGATTGGAATGGCCGCTATAATTTCGGCTTTGTGCGATGAGCGGGAAAATTGAAAAATCTCGTCGTAATGTTGTAAACATGGCAGAGTGTGTTAAATTCAGCACTTACCTAACACGTCAGTTCGCCATTTTCATCAAATGGGTTATTATAGCAGAATAAGCAGATGAAAGCCAGTTCTTAAGCCAGTCAACATTCAGTGGAAACATTAGTGGACACCTGGGCATTTGAGCAGATATTTGACCACTGCTATAATTTAAATCAGTCATCATTTCCTTACTTTTAGAACAGCGATCAGGTATGTGTCTTGGTATTGCCTCAATAGTAATTTTGCTCCAACCACTTTTAGCTCAATATCACACAAACTGCGTTTTCGGTTGTGGCATCAGGAGTAAATTAGAGTCATTTTGTTTAAAGATTTCAAAGTGTATGGAGTATAAGATTTTAGATAATTGCAGACATGTTCTGAAAGGATGAATTTCTCGTAATACCACTGATAGTTATTTGGGCATAAACGTTTCTTTGTTATGGGGGATAGCGTTCAATACTATAAGCAGAAGATTAGGGAATAGTAAGTTTCCCCAAATATTAAGACATTCCCAATATCAAATAACACGACTGGAATAACTCATATCCAGGAAGATTTGAATCGGTAAATAAGCAAGATATCCGGGAAATTTATTTTAAAACATTTACTTCTAGCTTTCGTTTGTCATATCGGGTATTCCATAATAGAAAGTAGCAAATCGATTCATTTTGATTTCTACCCTAAGAAGTAGGATTCGTGTAACGGTTATCGGTATGAAAATTGGAATCGGAGAACCAAGTTTAAATACTTGCCTAGTCTGTTGCCTTCATCTTTTCGCTGGTGATCTTGAGAAAGTTCTGAATTATCGCTACACAGCAGTGGGTTAAATAGCAGTGTTAGAAAGGGCTGCCAAGCTCTTGTTTAACGTCCAGTGTAAGAGGATGACAACAATGAATTCTAAATAGTAGAAAAGGCAATAGAATAAAAAACACATTCCAATTTCTTTACCAAGTTCTTGTGGTTATATACAGATTATAAAGAAAAGACAACTGTCGTTATTCATTATGGCTTCCATCATGAATAATGACATTATTTTTTCTTCAGAAAAAAAAAGAACAAACATCGGATATAGATATATCTTTATAGAATAAGCGGGGAGCGAAATAAATCTCGAATCGTAAAATGAAATCTGCAAGTCGAGTTCAAATTCCAAACTAGTCTCTTCCATTGAATTTTGTAATACTGACCCAGGTAAAGGCGGGTGTTTATTTCTTTTCCTCCAAAACGCTATGTGTTAAATATTAGAGTAGACACTGATATATTGACCTTAATAGCTGGTGAAGAGAAACACTGAATTCCAAACAGGGAAATGGCAACGGGACTCAAAACCGCAAATGTCAAATTTATAGATGATGTTTATACTCTAAAACATCTTTGAGTTCTCGACCTTCCTTTGTAACTAATGCTCAATAGTGTGATATGAGATAATCCTTATATTATAAGAAATAGATATATAATATTTATAGTCTATTTTAAGTTTGGCACGAACAAAATTAAATGATGCAAGATTGATAGCCTCATTTAAATGAGATACTAACAAATATTAAGTGGGTAGACATTTCCGAGATATAATATTGAGAGTCTACACCCTTGTGAAAATTAAGTGACACCACTACTCTAGTTTCCTTTCTTTCACCAAACGGTCAGATTTAGACCGACTGGAATGACAAGGTGTAATTTTTTCTTCAGATTAGCTCATTTGCAGTAATGTGTAGTAATGTCAAACAATTTTCTGGGTGTATGATGAAATTTGTTTGGCCTTGAAAAATATTGCGTCTTCCGCGATTGCATCATATGTTCATCCCTCTCAGACACTATTGTTTCAATTGTCGATTAGTTATCCTACGTCCATTGTCTGCGATGGACGTTACTCCAAGGAAGAGTACGAAACTTTTAACGCTGCATGAACATGACAGTGAAGAAATCAAAGTACTATCGACTGGCTCGGAAAATCTTTGGTTTAAATCTGCGTTTAATCTGCAAGGAAAGACTTTGCAGAATGGATATACGAAGTACTAACATGTGCACTGAGTTATGTCTCATTGAAAGATACGAAAAAAAGTAAATAATAACTGAATTATTCGTTTTGTTTCAGTTAATTTCCAAAAGGGCGTATTTTAATTTTAGTACGAACAGAATTGAAAGCGACAGATATTTCTAAACGACTGATAGGTAAAAAAATGTATCAAGCATTTGACAGAAACACAATTTTGAAATTGATGTCGGTGTATTTTAGAATATAAATCACTGACACTCATAATTTATTATGTTAAGTGATTGAAACTTAGAAGTTGCTACAATACGTACCATTGGCTCTTAATATAATCACCTCCATTCACGAGGAAGATGTACAAGGTGGCTCGAAAGTTATCTCACCCCATACGAAAAAGTAATGGGAACAATAGAGGAACATGTAACACAGTAATACAAGGCACAAGTACTGGATTCAGTTTTTTTCATTTTCAGTAAAGTTGTCACACATGGAGAAGGGCTGTATGAACACCATCTTATTCTTTTCAACCTTCTGGAAAAAAAAAAATTATGTATACGAGACAAAACTTTCGGACCACTTTAGTTTGTAGCTGTTTTTTTATGGAGGGTAAATTACTGTTATGGTCCAGGTTAGGACCAAGGTAGAACAACAGGAACAGAAGAGTAGAAATAACGAAGGTATAATACACGAAATAATAATACAAGATATGTCTTGTTTGGAGTCAACTACTATCGGCTCGACTCGATTCGGTATCTAGCCACCCCTCCCATGAGGGATGCATGTGGCACAAACCCGAGTTTAACGTGGGTTTCCCGAGCCCGTAGGCTCGGCCAAAACTGCCCGTAGAACCAGTATAAACGGGATCGGGTTGGTCAAACTTCCCGAACGAGACTCTGTCCTTCGGCGGAGCCTCGTCCAGATTCCTCTCTGCACAGAGGCAGAGAGTTCGACCGTCAAGCCGAGAAGCTCGGCTCGATTCGGTATCTAGCCCCCCACGAGGGTTGCATGTGACACAAGGTCGTTTTTTATCGTGGGTTTCCTGAGCCCGTAGGCTCAGCCAAAATATGCCCGTAGAACCCGTATAAACGAGATCGGGTAGGTCATTCACCCCGAACGAGATTCTGCCCTTCGGCGGAACCTCGTCCGGGTTCCTTTCTGCTCAAAAGCAGAGAGTTCGACCGTCAAGTCGAGAAGCTCGGCTTGATTCAGTATCTAGCCACCCCCACGAGGGTTGCATGCGACACAAGGTCATTTTTATCGTGGGTTTCCTGAGCCCGTAGGCTCAGCCAAAAATATGCCTGTATGACTCGTAAAAACGAGATCAGGTAGGTCATTTACCCCGAACGAGATTCTGCCCTTCGGCGGAACCTCGTCCGGGTTCCTTTCTGCTCAAGAGCAGAGAGTTCGACCGTCAAGTCGAGAAGCTCGGCTTGATTCAGTATCTAGCCACCCCCCACGAGGGTTGCATGCGACACAAGGTCATTTTTATCGTGGGTTTCCTGAGCCCGTAGGCTCAGCCAAAAATATGCCCGTATAACTCGTAAAAACGAGATCGGGTAGGTCATTCACCCCGAACGAGATTCTGCCCTTCGGCGGAACCTCGTCCGGGTTCCTTTCTGCTCAAAAGCAGAGAGTTCGACCGTCAAGTCGAGAAGCTCGGCTTGATTCGACCCTCTCTCTTGAGAGGCGTAGTATACATAATGTTAGGGAGAGTTCATTCTGTAGTTATAGGTAAGGACCCATGACAATTACGGAACTCAATAACGACTGAGGGTGACACCTGAAGCTACATGACAGAGAGAATATAAAGATATCAAATCTTAGCATTGGTGATATCACAATATAAATACTGTCGTCAATCACTTTAAAAGATATTAATATTGATGTTGAGCCTCAACCAGACTCATTGAATTAGCAAATTATATCACATCTTTTGTGATCTCAGGTGGTTTCGATGTATATCGCTTCACCCTGAACTGTGTGTGTAGATAGGCTTTTCTTCTCGTTAATATTTTTTTATAAGCTTTTCACCCCACCAAGGCGGGAGTGCCACTAGCACGCAAGGAGTTACAGAGAGTGGGAGCGAGAGTAAAGAGGCTTGGTGGAGGAAAGGATGAAGAGAAGGACAATGAATAATTCAGGGCATCTGGCGATGTTGATTGATTTGTCATTTGTATATTTGGAGATTATAGCTATCAGGGAAACATCTAATAGAAGCGGAATTCCACAGTCAG